TACGTCGCGCAAATCATTGCACTGGATTTTCGTGTCTGAACCTGTTAATAGGCGATGGGTGGACATCCGAATGCTTCCACTTCTGGCTCTTCTTTACTCCGTCGCCTTAGTTGACCGATTGAATATTAGTGTCGCTAGGACAGCCGGCATGGGTGAAGCATTGGTAAATAATACCCGCTGTTCTTGCGGGACGATTCTAATCTTTGTACTATAGGGACTTGATGTTGGATCTCGATACAGTATCGCGACGTGCATGTACTTCATTCCTTACGTGCTATTGTACGTTATAGTCTGTTATTTTTGCAGCACGCTCATAGCTAACTATTTTGATAGTCAAGTACCTGGGAATATCCTTCTTCGCAAGATTGGAGCGCGCGTTTTCCTCTCTTTTATTGTGACCGCATGGGGCGTAGTATGCTTATCAATCGGATTCGTCAAGACCTGGGAAGTTCTTACCGTTTTACGCGTATTATTGGGTGCCATGGAGGTGCAAATCACTCTGTCATTTCTATCTTTTGATCGGGCCTGACTCCGCGTAGGCCGGGCTCTTTCCTGCTCTCGTGTATATCATCTCAACTTGGTAAGACTCCCCTCATTACGTTCTACATTATCCGGACCTAATTACATCTTCTGGCCCGTAGGTACACGCGTCACGAAGTCGCAAAAAGGTCTGTACCGTCTACCTATCAACTGACAATTAATTAACATGTTCTACAACGGCCAGGCTTGCTGCCTTCTACATGATCTCACTAACAATTGCCGGGTTTGCTCCTATCCTTGCCTACTGCATCAGTTTACTTGATGGAAAACGGGGCATTGCCGGTTGGTCATGGATCTTTGTGAGTATTTGTTGATTTCTCCTGTCATTTACCTCCATTATTCATGCGGCGGCCACCCACTATCTTACAGATCATTGAGGGCGCATTCACAATATTCCTGGGCGCCATTACGTTCCTTTATGTCCCTGATTTCCCGGACAAGAACCGGTTCTTGACCCCAGAGCAGACAGCAGTGGTTCTAAGGAGGATCGAAATTGACCGTGGCGATTCGGTGCCGGATGTCTTGACACCAGCTAAGATTTGGTTCCACCTGAAGGACTGGTCGATTTGGACTTACGGTATGCACAAACGGGACTTTTGGCGTTGGGTCCTGGCTGATTGGAGGCGCTAGGCATAATGCTGGCATGTTCGACCGTGCCGTCGTACATGCTAGCTTACTTTATTTCCATTATCCTGGGTGGTATGGGCTACGGGAGAAGTATGTCCCTCCTTCTGGTAAGTCCCGTCTATTCAATAATCAAGTTCCCGGTTGACTAGTGGTTTCTAGAGTGCGCCTCCCTATGGTCCAGCGGTATGCCAAGTTTCATCCCGGTCACCTGGGTAGTAACTTAAAAATATACTCGCTAGTTCATCTCTGCGCTCTTCTTTGCATGGATATCGGACCGATACAAGCACCGGAGCTCCTACATCATAATCCAAGCCTGCATTTGCATTGTCGGATGTTGCTTAACAGCGTTTTGCCAGCCACATGCCTTGCGGTACTTTGGTAGCCGCTCTCCCTTGTTCTCAACTTCTATTACTCAAGTCAAGTCACTAGGGACTTTCCTCATCAACATCGGTAGTGCGGGTGCCATACCATGTATCCTAGCCTATGGTGCCAATAATGTCGTATCGCAGAGTAAACGGTACGTACTGATGAACCTCCTTCTCGACTTCCCTCCCCTCAATACCCAAGCCGCTTACCCATCATCCTCATCATTAGGTCGGTGCAAACTGCGTTGACTTCGGGCTGCGCAGGTATCGGCGGAATCATCGCTTCGACCGTATTTCGGGAGAAGGATTTTCCAAAATATGTCCCTGGTGGGTATTCTTTTCTCCTAACTTCACCACTCTGATACTTATACGAAAATTTCCTAGGTCTGTGGGTGACGATCGGGACTCAAATTGTGCTCATTGGAGTCGTAATGGCGACAGTGATACATTTCTCGAGGCTGAATAGGTTGATGAGAGAGGGGAAGCTGAAAGAGCCGATCCAGGGTCAGCCAGGGTTCTACCATACATTGTGAGGGTGCAGGCGCACAATGCACCCGTACGCGCAAATCAAGTAAACTAAAACACAAGCAACTCGAAACCATTGTTACTCCATTGACGTACCTATGTAATTATCAATCTTGTACCTGAAGCTATAGATTAACATTTAATGAACTTGATGTATTTTTTTGACTGGCAGCTGAAATGAGATAAAAGGGAAGGACTCGACTAGCTTTGTGCCTTCGTGCGCACGGTTGTCGCGGGTCTTTAGATGACCGGGACTTGTCTAATATTGGAACATCCGTCTTGTTTTGGGGCTGTACGCGTGCCGGTGGAGATGCTGTTACATATTGCAGTTGGTTATACTAGGAAGCAGAGTAGTTAATATGAGGCATCGACCTGCACAACTTCTAATCGATAGTGATAGAAATGGTAGGAAGTCGAGGGAGTAAGCGAGATTCACCAAAGTCACAGTCCATCACTTGCTGCATGCATGGGAAGATCCGTAGATATGAAACTGGGAGAGCCTCGGTAGGCCGTATCGCACGCATGCCGTTCCCAGGTAGATATGTAGATATAGAGCGACGGAAAGTGGAGATGCACACGATAATAATGTTGACTTTGTCATCGGGGCCGTGTCCTGTTTACTCAGCTAAAAGTAATTCACGAGCTCTTCTACCATGAATTAAAGGCATCAGTTATGCACCATCTACTGAGGCGTCAAATTTAAAAGCAATGCACTAGCTTCGATCTACTTACATGTTCTTGGCAATCACCTTCGGTCACTATTGAACCTTTGAAGACGCCCTCTGTCATCCTTTTTCTTATGAAATGTTGCGGTTACATCTCACTGCTGGTAAGCAGTTATGTTAGGCGAAGCAAATCGGTGAAATAGGTGGATAACGTATGAACCTAGACCCACGCTTTTACCACAGCGAAATAAGCCGGGATTCCCTTTACCAACGGATTTTGCTGTGGTCAAATGACCGTGTCAGATTTTTTCGTCTATTCCTCTGGAGTTTTGACCGGCGCGACTGAATCACATGCCAGGAGCGTCCTCGACATCTCTGTACGCTCACGTCAGTCAAATTTTGACAAAAAAGCGTCCGCTACACACATGATCCATACTTGAACCGCTGTTTGTACGTAGGGGGATCCGCCATACTTACAACTCCGGGTCAGCAGAGTGCTGATTCGGGTCTTTGTCATGAATGCACGAGGGACTGCGACGTTTGCAATGCCTTTAAATGAGAGGGAAGGATGATTAGTTACACCAAGAAAGATTCCAGATCCAGAGAGACTATTCCAGAGGAAGTCTTAACCCTGGATCGGCTTTTGCAGCAATATGAAGTTCAATATCGGGAAGCCTCTTCGAACACTTAGGTTAACGACCAAACTGATGTAGTTTCAATACAATGTACTTTTTTGAGTGGACCACTGTCTAGATGCGCTGCCCTCGATCAGAAGAGGGCTCCAAATTTGAGTTATAAGAGGCGGATGCTGCAGCACACGGTTTCTGTGATTCGACCTGTTGTGTGAGAAAAGGATCGGGATGTGATTTTTATTGGAGCCCACCTGTGGTCATTCGCGGGCGGCATTGGCGCTGTCGCCCGACATCATTGCAGATGGCTCAGTTTTAGGCCGCCAGTGGCGTTGTATTGAAAGTAGGATTCACAGCACATAATAATAGTCTGAATGAGGTCATGTCAGAGAATCCATCATACTGGAATAGTACGGTATCGGCATCCTGTAAAGATCCACCGTAGCTAAAATATAAGTGCCTTGGGAGAAATTTTTGTTGATACAGGACGTACATTCGTACTTCTTTCCGTCTGCTCAGCACAGGATCGTGCTATCGTGCCAGTGGATTTCGTTGTTATATCTGGTGTGTGAATAGATATCGGGGCCTGTTAGACCAAGGAACGCGATGCAAGCAAATTTTGGAATCAAGAAGGGCTGTTTCACGGAGGCTCGATGAACGAGAATGACGGTATTGGAGCTGTTCCTCCTTTCCTACTGGTAGCCCATCACGCATCTGATGGAAGATGGGTGATATGAACAAGTCTAGGTACTGCGGGGGTCCAGAGAAAGTTTATTGGCATTCGCAAGTGATAATCGGATGGGAAGGCTGTGCAGATAAAGGTTACATAATCACAGAAAATTCGCGTCAATAACGCGCCAGGACCACGTGAGCATGTCACGGTCTCCTCATTTTTGACACACGGCTATACTCTTTCTCCTAGGTCGCGTTCAAAAATATTTTTTTTCTGGGCTGTCAGCCGGTGTCAATTTTACAAGGTAGAAAAAGTTTTCACCGATCCAAGATTGCGCGCGCAGATATAGATATCTCTTGGCTTCCACTAAGGATAACCTTGGGTATAGAGCGGATTCGATGGCGGATCCATAGATTTCTCTGGAGAAAACAAGGAGTAGTCCGGCAGGACAATCAACGAGCGAACGAACCGATCGTACTAATCGCTATCCCAACGTACATAAGAGGATTATTCTTTTACACACTCTGGCGAAAATTTTCATCAGTTCACCGGTGTATCGGACAAAACGCGGAAGGAATCATATGAACAACTCACCGGGTCTTGCCAACGTGGTCGGGTGATATAGGTATCGGGCCTTAGTGCTAGTGAATGAGCGCGATGGTAAGTATAGACTCGCACCAGTTGAACTGGTTCTGAGCCAGGAAGTTCCTAATCGATAAGAGGAGGAGGAGGGGGAAGGAAGCTTAAAGGCGATTTCATGGAAATCGTGCTTCGACCCTGTATCGGTTCATGACGCATGGTATCACGGGTGAGAGATGCTATGTAGATAAGGCTCGAGATCAGAATGATATCATTGCACTTACTGCTACCCTCTGATAAAGTTATAGTCAATTGGCACTGCGCTTTGTCGCTTTGCATTGTGCAGAGGGAAATATGTAGATTGGAGAGATCTGGTCTATGTAAATACAGCTCTTCATCTCTGGTAGTATATCGGTTAGTACACGCGCCTGTCAAAATAGGTCCACGGAGATACTGGTTCGCGCGAAAGCTGGGTTCGACTCCCAGCCAGAGAGTGTCTTCATGCAACGCAGGACATTTTGCACAGAGTTTCAGCTACAAGCCTCAAGACTGAATCCTGACTCCTCGGCATCCAAGACTTCAGACTACGACTGGAGTATTTTGCTACCTGCGGAAATAACAGAACAAGTTATGCTATCTACTCAGATCCTAGTCGAATAACCCTGGGCTTTACCGAGTCCCAATGTCAGCGTCCATTAAGCTAGGTACTGACAATTTGGGTCCGCGGCCCTGTACCTGAGTCTGGGTATGGGGAAAAAGAGATATTCCATGCCATGTAAAAACGGTACAATGCAGGTAGAAGAAGATAGGTAGAACATTCGGAGAAGGCCAAGGACGCGTACGGGGTTTGTCGGTGGGGCCAGGGCGCGTCGAAATCATTTTGAGAAGATGTAATCTAATCGGTACGGTGATTTACGGGCATTGTATTGGTGGTTACTATACAAGACGACATTATGTACCTTGGAATTGAAACATGATATTGAATCGTAAACAAAAGATGATCAGTGAGGCTGGGGTTGGATGATGCGCCTTGTCTTGGTGCCATGGTGCAGCAGCCGTAGCAGCAGGATAGAAATCGGAGGAGATTGACGATAAAAAAAAGCTGAGACCGACAATACACCCTCGAGGAGAACTTCGTGTATGGATTATTTCTTAAAATGTGCAAGTGAGAGGTGGAAGCGGAGAGTCGTCGGTGGAGGAACCGGTTCGGTTCGTGGCCGTGTTCGGGATCAGAGGATGCCCAATTCGGAGGTAACTCGCAGTTAACGCCGAGCCGCTCGGATACAAAAAGGGCCAAGGCAGTGGGTGCCTCTTTTCCACAAGTCCCCAATCTTACGCACTTGTGGTATGGAGTCCTGGGATTACTACCCTTCCCCGTCGTCGTCTTCCTCGTCGAGCTCGCCCTCTCCCATGTTCAAGACTGCCAATCCTGAGCCGACCACCGTCACCTGCCTCCCTACACACCAGGTCTTCGACTTTCCTCTGCCTTCACCGTCGCCTCCACCGGCGTCCCTCTCCCAGATAGAGGAAGCGACGGCGACAGAACCGCCAGCTTCAAATAAACGGATGTCGCCCTCACCTCATTCGGTGACCGCGAAGCGGCCCAGAGAGCGCATGACAACGAGGGACTTCATCCCGCCGGATGTGTCCGGTCTCTCGAAACGAGAAGCACGGCTGGTGAAGAACAGGGCGGCAGCATTCCTGAGTCGACAACGGAAACGAGAAGAATTCGAGGCCATGGAAATGTGAGTAAATTTTTCATTATTCCTTTAGTACTAGCTGACAGGATGTATGCAGTCGGGTAGCCGAACTCGAGCTTGAAAACGCGCGTCTGCAGGCATTGGCAGGAGGCGCATCACCGCCGTCGCCGTCGCCCTCGATGTCGACCTCGTCCGAGATCGACGACCTGCGCGCCCAGCTCGCCGAGGCCCAGGCGCTTCTGCAGTCTTCGCCCCAACCAGAAGCCATCAAGGCCGAACCCACTGAAACGCCGCTTCCCTCCTCGTCTTCATCCAAGTCCGCCTTAATGGCCCTTCTATGCGCCCTGCCACTTCTGCAGTCGCTCCCAATCCCACCTTCTCCCGCTACAACGACATCACCGTCGTCCACCGCCCTGGACGTCTCCTTCGACGCGCAGACGGTCCCGAATGGCGCCATTCGAGTTCGTATACACGACCCTCAGCCGTCTTCCCCTGCTCCTGCTTATCCGACGTACGACGATCCATTCTTTGGAATGGGCCTCGACATGGGATTCGACAACGATTTTCTTTCCCCTGTCACTGTTCCGACGACAACGTCAGCTTCTCCATCTCGTCGCGTGCGCATCGCTCTTCGGAGCACTGAACAGGCCGAGGGCGGCGAGTGGGAGGTCCAGCTGTGCTAACCTCCGAGTCCGACGGTATAGGTGTTTGAGCGCTCTCGCCGTTTTGCTACTAAATTTTATTTCTCCTTGTTAACGTTATCTCTGTACATGCCTCTCGCAAAAAGTAACATATTATGTTCATTGCTCTCTGTATACCTAGTACCATAGGATCCCAATCTAGTTTGTCTCTTTGTTTTGCATTCATTCTCAAACACGGACTATAGAAATCTCCTGTCTTTTTTTTTTCTGCATCCATCAATGATCATTCCCACCCCTTCCCGGTCTTAAACATCACCCCTTTGCTGATTTGACCAAGGTCGAATTGTACTTGAGATATATTGCTTTGCGGCGTGTTACCTGACAATGAGAGAAGTCCATTCATTCAAGTCTCGTCACAGGGACGATCCGGTCGTGCGTGCATGGCATGATGGCATACCGCACGCACGAGAGCCAACTTGGCAGCGTTGGCAGTTTTCTGATGTCCCCACTGCTGAGTGGGAACTTCAACTCGGCAGCACGTTTTAATTGGTGGCTCTGATGGTCCCACTTGCGGTCGGTTCTGATATAGATATCTGTTCATCCGGCTATCCACTTATCTCACCACCGCAGCGCGTGTATCGGTCCGCTACAGGTCCCGACGCGCGCGCGCCCTGCAACAGACTGGCCTAGGAACCAGTTGCACGTTCACTACGGCAAAAATTTTCCCGAAGTTCGCTTTGGACTTGTGCAAATTCATCATCATATCATTTCGGGTTCCATTCGGCCTATTGATTGATGATATCATGCCCTCGCCGTCGAACTTCTGCCCTTACGGTATTCAAATATAACACCTTCACGGTCTTGGTTACAAGAAAGTATCAAAGCGAGCTGTGGGTGGATTTTTCAATTGTCGGCCGTTAGCTCAGGTGCACGGGACGTCGGCTAGTCCTCCTGTACCTCCCCTAGCTCCCAAGTTCAAATTGACCAAGGTACAATAGGCTCGGAGGAACTTGCAAGTGACGTCAGTCCGTACAAGTCCCGTTGAGAATCCACCTCCCATCGCCGCCGAGGTTCTTCTCCTTGTCAGAACAGTGTATATCCACCGACCGCTCTTCCTTCTTTCCATTGTTCTGTGTCACATTGGCAGAGAAGAATGAAACAGATGTAAGTTCAACCCCAGCAGCGGCCGACCACCTGCTCGATACCCGACATCTTACCGATAGTCGCTGACATGAAACTGAAACTAACCGACACCCCGAGGACGACCCACGACTAAAGCGGGAACCAGAGTAAGAGATTGCAGGGACAAAGCGGTGCAGAGTACCACAGAGTAAGAATAGACACTGAGAGTGAAGAGTGAGTTGGGGAGGGTGCCCCGCGGCCCTCACAACTTGGATTGAACAAATGAACAAGGCATCTAATCGCGCTTGACGTGAAAATCACAAGTCCCAAGTTCCAGGTTCCCATCCCGATGAGGTCATACCGAACCAGCTCGTTTCGTCAAATACGTTAATTCGAACTGTCAATTGGAATTTGGAGCCGAGGGATGGCTTCAGTCGACGTCTAGAGACGAACGAAATGGGCAAAGTTGCAACGAAGAGAAGAGGATATAGTCCGCCACGGATTAGTGTCTTCGCAGCTTCGAACCCTTCTTGATGCGAGTACCTACTATAAACGCCCATATTTGCCTGTGTGTTCCTTTTGGGGATGTGGTGATGTCGAGAATGTCATGGTATTGTGGCGATGAAATAGCGGTTCCTGAGATAAGATAAAATAACGCGTACGCATGTCTTGGCGCGTCGGGAATGGACTGCGGGTTACAAGTGAATGTTATTCAGCGAGTAGGGCATGAGGTACCAGGAGGATAAGCTAAGCGGGAGAGCAGGGCCGTGGCATAAACTTGTGATGATAAGCGGATATTGGTTACGCATGGACCAACAGGCCGTACTCGAACCGGCGGGCCCTTGTCCAGCCCGTTATAACCGGATTTGATGATCCCCATAGCAGGTATCCATGCCTGAGATCTTGAAGGTTTAGGACCTAGAGGAGTAGCGCAGGCGGTGCATTTCAGCCTAGGCGGCGCCGCACAACGATGGCAGATGACGTTCTGTGCTGTAAGTATTAGCAATATTTTTACGGGCCCTTGGCGGAGGAACGTACGCATCAGCTAAAATCGTCTCGAATTCCACATTTCATCTCTTTTGCTTGCCGACCACACGTGCAGTGCATAAATGGGATAAGCAGCTGCCAGTGCGGAACAACGAAAATATAAGAGACAAGACTCGTAATAGAAGATCTGATAGAATCATCGAAGAGTAACCCAAATGAGATGAAAGGCGGCACACCTTGAGGAATGAGGGTGCATGTGTAAAAAGACTACCGCTTTCAACCCTCTACATTCTCTGTAGTTCAAGAAGCGATTTGGATACTGTTCTCTTTTGCGCTATGCGGACTTCCGCTAAAGAAACGAAAAGGAAAGCACTGCTCTTCGATGTACCCTCGAGATATGCAAATCCAGATGAGAATACCGGCGAAGGTCTGATGACTGAAAGGCTATCACAGGAGCGCTGCAATCATGAGGTGTACCGACATTCTTCCTCCGACCCAAGAACAAATAACAATGACACCGGTCTTACAGGGCCTATGAGCAAGATGATGCGGTGGTACTGAATTGAAGGGTCCTAAAATTCCGGAAAATGATATAATGATGTGCCGTGGCTCAAGTGCGCATGAATGAAGACGTCTCGATGATGTGATGGAACCCGGAACGTTTTCATGCTTCAATCGCGCTGAGAACATGTGCCAAAGGGGCAGGTAACCTGCCGGTAATGCGTCGACAACTGCTTAACACCGAGACCAATGATACTTCAGGATAGAAGGGGATCTCCGATGTACACTAAGCCATGTATGAGAGACTAAATATTGGCCGAAATTAAAGACGACGCACCCAATATTTCAAGAGCCTTTACCTTCTTTCAACTCCCTTTCCCCCACCATGATTATGAAACTGTAATGAAACAATGGTCTTCAAAAATCGTCATGCATCTATGCAAAAGTTATACCGATGTAATGACAAATCCAGGCGTCATACCAGTAATTAATACTGTATTGCTGCTCCTTAAGAGTTCCATGACACGGGTTGTCATACTTGAG